ATGCAGAGGCTGCCCCCAGGCGTCATCAAGCCTCCTGAAAGGATGGGGCAGGAAGGACCGTCCTCACAGAGCCAGGGGTGTGGGATGCAGAGGCTGCCCCCAGGCGTCATCAAGCCTCCTAAAAGGATGGGGCAGGAAGGACCGTCCTCACAGAGCCAGGTGTGGGATGCAGAGGCTGCCCCCAGGCGTCATCAAGCCTCCTAAAAGGATGGGGCAGGAAGGACCGTCCTCACAGAGCCAGGGGTGGGGGATGCAGAGGCTGCCCCCAGGCGTCATCAAGCCTCCTGAAAGGATGGGGCAGGAAGGACCGTCCTCACAGAGCCAGGTGTGGGATGCAGAGGCTGCCCCCAGGCGTCATCAAGCCTCCTGAAAGGATAGGGCAGGAAGGACCGTCCTCACAGAGCCAGGGGTGTGGGATGCAGAGGCTGCCCCCAGGCGTCATCAAGCCTCCTGAAAGGATGGGGCAGGAAGGACCGTCCTCACAGAGCCAGGGCTGGGGGATGCAGAGGCTGCCCCCAGGCGTCATCAAGCCTCCTGAAAGGATGGGGCAGGAAGGACCTTCCTCACAGAGCCAGGTGTGGGATGCAGAGGCTGCCCCCAGGCGTCATCAAGCCTCCTGAAAGGATGGGGCAGGAAGGACCGTCCTCACAGAGCCAGGGGTGTGGGATGCAGAGGCTGCCCCCAGGCGTCATCAAGCCTCCTGAAAGGATGGGGCAGGAAGGACCATCCTCACAGAGCCAGGGGTGTGGGATGCAGAGGCTGCCCCCAGGTGTCATCAAGCCTCCTAAAAGGATGGGGCAAGAATGACCGTCCTCACAGAGCCAGGGGTGGGGGATGCAGAGGCTGCCCCCAGGCGTCATCAAGCCTCCTGAAAGGATGGGGCAGGAAGGACCGTCCTCACAGAGCCAGGTGTGGGATGCAGAGGCTGCCCCCAGGCGTCATCAAGCCTCCTGAAAGGATGGGGCAGGAAGGACCGTCCTCACAGAGCCAGGTGTGGGATGCAGAGGCTGCCCCCAGGCGTTATCAAGCCTCCAAAAAGGATGGGGCAGGAAGGACCGACCTCACAGAGCCAGGGGTGGGGGATGCAGAGGCTGCCCCCAGGCGTCATCAAGCCTCCTGAAAGGATGGGGCAGGAAGGACCGTCCTCACAGAGCCAGGTGTGGGATGCAGAGGCTGCCCCCAGGCGTCATCAAGCCTCCTGAAAGGATGGGGCAGGAAGGACCGTCCTCACAGAGCCAGGGGTGTGGGATGCAGAGGCTGCCCCCAGGCGTCATCAAGCCTCCTAAAAGGATGGGGCAGGAAGGACCGTCCTCACAGAGCCAGGTGTGGGATGCAGAGGCTGCCCCCAGGCGTCATCAAGCCTCCTAAAAGGATGGGGCAGGAAGGACCGTCCTCACAGAGCCAGGGGTGGGGGATGCAGAGGCTGCCCCCAGGCGTCATCAAGCCTCCTGAAAGGATGGGGCAGGAAGGACCGTCCTCACAGAGCCAGGTGTGGGATGCAGAGGCTGCCCCCAGGCGTCATCAAGCCTCCTGAAAGGATGGGGCAGGAAGGACCGTCCTCACAGAGCCAGGGGTGTGGGATGCAGAGGCTGCCCCCAGGCGTCATCAAGCCTCCTGAAAGGATGGGGCAGGAAGGACCGTCCTCACAGAGCCAGGGCTGGGGGATGCAGAGGCTGCCCCCAGGCGTCATCAAGCCTCCTGAAAGGATGGGGCAGGAAGGACCTTCCTCACAGAGCCAGGTGTGGGATGCAGAGGCTGCCCCCAGGCGTCATCAAGCCTCCTGAAAGGATGGGGCAGGAAGGACCGTCCTCACAGAGCCAGGGGTGTGGGATGCAGAGGCTGCCCCCAGGCGTCATCAAGCCTCCTGAAAGGATGGGGCAGGAAGGACCATCCTCACAGAGCCAGGTGTGGGATGCAGAGGCTGCCCCCAGGTGTCATCAAGCCTCCTAAAAGGATGGGGCAAGAATGACCGTCCTCACAGAGCCAGGGGTGGGGGATGCAGAGGCTTCCCCCAGGCGTCATCAAGCCTCCTAAAAGAATGGGGCAGGAAGGACCGTCCTCACAGAGCCAGGGGTGGGGGATGCAGAGGCTGCCCCCAGGCGTCATCAAGCCTCCTAAAAGGATGGGGCAGGAAGGACCGTCCTCACAGAGCCAGGTGTGGGATGCAGAGGCTGCCCCCAGGCGTCATCAAGCCTCCTAAAAGGATGGGGCAGGAAGGACCATCCTCACAGAGCCAGGGGTGTGGGATGCAGAGGCTGCCCCCAGGCGTCATCAAGCCTCCTAAAAGGATGGGGCAGGAAGGACTGTCCTCACAGAGCCAGGTGTGGGATGCAGAGGCTGCCCCCAGGCGTCATCAAGCCTCCTAAAAGGATGGGGCAGGAAGGACCATCCTCACAGAGCCAGGAGTGGGGGATGCAGAGGCTGCCCCCAGGCATCATCAAGCCTCCTGAAAGGATGGGGCAGGAAGGACCGTCCTCACAGAGCCAGGGGTGGGGGATGCAGAGGCTGCCCCCAGGCATCATCAAGCCTCCTGAAAGGATGGGGCAGGAAGGACCGTCCTCACAGAGCCAGGGCTGGGGGATGCAGAGGCTTCCCCGAGGCATCATCAAGCCTCCTGAAAGGATGGGGCAGGAAGGACCGTCCTCACAGAGCCAGGGGTGGGGGATGCAGAGGCTGCCCCCAGGCGTCATCAAGCCTCCTGAAAGGATGGGGCAGGAAGGACCATCCTCACAGAGCCAGGGGTGGGGGATGCAGAGGCTGCCCCCAGGCATCATCAAGCCTCCTGAAAGGATGGGGCAGGAAGGACCGTCCTCACAGAGCCAGGGGTGTGGGATGCAGAGGCTGCCCCCAGGCGTCATCAAGCCTCCTGAAAGGATGGGGCAGGAAGGACCATCCTCACAGAGCCAGGGGTGGGGGATGCAGAGGCTGCCCCCAGGCATCATCAAGCCTCCTAAAAGGATGGGGCAGGAAGGACCATCCTCACAGAGCCAGGGGTGGGGGATGCAGAGGCTGCCCCCAGGCATCATCAAGCCTCCTGAAAGGATGGGGCAGGAAGGACCGTCCTCACAGAGCCAGGTGTGGGATGCAGAGGCTGCCCCCAAGCATCATCAAGCCTCCTGAAAGGATGGGGCAGGAATGACCGTCCTCACAGAGCCAGGGCTGGGGGATGCAGAGGCTGCCCCGAGGCATCATCAAGCCTCCTGAAATGATGGGGCAGGAAGGACCGTCCTCACAGAGCCAGGGGTGGGGGATGCAGAGGCTGCCCCCAGGCGTCATCAAGCCTCCTAAAAGGATGGGGCAGGAAGGACTGTCCTCACAGAGCCAGGTGTGGGATGCAGAGGCTGCCCCCAGGCGTCATCAAGCCTCCTAAAAGGATGGGGCAGGAAGGACCATCCTCACAGAGCCAGGAGTGGGGGATGCAGAGGCTGCCCCCAGGCATCATCACGCCTCCTGAAACGATGGGGCAGGAAGGACCGTCCTCACAGAGCCAGGGGTGGGGGATGCAGAGGCTGCCCCCAGGCATCATCAAGCCTCCTGAAAGGATGGGGCAGGAAGGACCGTCCTCACAGAGCCAGGGGTGTGGGATGCAGAGGCTGCCCCCAGGCGTCATCAAGCCTCCTGAAAGGATGGGGCAGGAAGGACCGTCCTCACAGAGCCAGGGGTGGGGGATGCAGAGGCTGCCCCCAGGCATCATCAAGCCTCCTGAAAGGATGGGGCAGGAAGGACCGTCCTCACAGAGCCAGGTGTGGGATGCAGAGGCTGCCCCCAGGCGTCATCAAGCCTCCTGAAAGGATGGGGCAGGAAGGACCGTCCTCACAGAGCCAGGGGTGTGGGATGCAGAGGCTGCCCCCAGGCATCATCAAGCCTCCTGAAAGGATGGGGCAGGAAGGACCGTCCTCACAGAGCCAGGGGTGTGGGATGCAGAGGCTGCCCCCAGGCGTCATCAAGCCTCCTGAAAGGATGGGGCAGAAGGACCGTCCTCACAGAGCCAGGTGTGGGATGCAGAGGCTGCCCCCAGGCGTCATCAAGCCTCCTGAAAGGATCGGGCAGGAAGGACCGTCCTCACAGAGCCAGGGGTGTGGGATGCAGAGGCTGCCCCCAGGCGTCATCAAGCCTCCTAAAAGGATGGGGCAGGAAGGACCGTCCTCACAGAGCCAGGGGTGGGGGATGCAGAGGCTGCCCCCAGGCGTCATCAAGCCTCCTGAAAGGATGGGGCAGGAAGGACCGTCCTCACAGAGCCAGCGGTGTGGGATGCAGAGGCTGCCCCCAGGCGTCATCAAGCCTCCTGAAAGGATGGGGCAGGAAGGACCGTCCTCACAGAGCCAGGGGTGGGGGATGCAGAGGCTGCCCCCAGGCGTCATCAAGCCTCCTGAAAGGATGGGGCAGGAAGGACCGTCCTCACAGAGCCAGGGGTGGGGGATGCAGAGGCTGCCCCCAGGCGTCATCAAGCCTCCTAAAAGGATGGGGCAGGAAGGACCGTCCTCACAGAGCCAGGGGTGGGGGATGCAGAGGCTGCCCCCAGGCATCATCAAGCCTCCTGAAAGGATGGGGCAGGACGGACCGTCCTCACAGAGCCAGGGGTGGGGGATGCAGAGGCTGCCCCCAGGCGTCATCAAGCCTCCTGAAAGGATGGGGCAGGACGGACCGTCCTCACAGAGTTCACAGCCACCGTCACACCTCAGAGGGGCGGCTAGACAGCGAGCAGCCTCAGGCCAGTTCCAGTCCAGGCTGTCCCTGCTCCTTCCTTCTGCCTGTTAGAATGAGGTCGGCTGTGGCACTGACCTCACGGGAGGTGCACCCCGCTCCTCATAGTCCCCCCACCAGCCCAGCCCAGGCCTCCCCAGTGTGAAGCTGACGGCCCCCTCTAATGCCCTCCACCCCACCCTCACCAAGGCAGCCCCAAGAACCCTGAAAGCCATTCCCACCCTTAAGATGCCTTTCATCCTCCGACCCCCCCCACCCCGAATCCGACAGGACCCGCCCCTGCGCCCCTCCCGCAGACACCGCGCCCACCTGCCGAGGGCGGAAGGTCCAGGGTCACCGAGGCTTCAGCAGCGCGTCGCACGTCCCCCGGCTGCGCTGGGGCCTCTGGCCCCTTCCTCCTGAAGAACCGTGAGGCCGCCTCGGGAGAAGCTGGGGGAACAGTCCGAACGCCTCCGGAGAGGCGCTTTTTCCACCCTGCGCTGCCACCTGCTGGCCAAATGGGGGAGGGCGTCCCGAGCGCGATGTGAGGGCAATGGAGCCCCGGGGCGGGCAGGACCCTCTGCACACGCGCCTTCATTTCTCCCACACCCAAGGCCCCCACCAGGCCTCTCATCCTCTCCACCGCGTTTCCCTCTCACCCTCCCGCCATCTACTCCATCTCAGAGGGTATGGTTCTGTTGAAAAGAATCTGTTAAAATATATCATTATGATTAATGATGGCTTTAATTATTATCTATCCCTCTCCCGGGTGATTGGGGAAAAAATTTTTTTTTATTGGACTCTAAGTGGGGCAATGTTTACTTCCAAAAAAATGGCTCTCTAATGGTGGAATTTCAGACTCTGTGACTAGGCGGACTTCAGCAGAGCCCTTGCCAAGCATCCTCTTGGTCACTGATTCACTCTGAGGACAGCAGTCGAGCGAATGGGGCGCATCTGTAATCCATCACCACAGACGGTCGTGAAGTAACAGTGCATTAGACCGTGCAGGGCCCTTAGAGACCTGTTCATTGTACACATTTATCTGTTCAATGCTCCGTCCGTACAGAATAGACCAGAAACAGAACGTCTTCCCAAAAGGTTTAGGCTTGGGCACATTCCTGGATGGCAGATACACTGAGAATTTTAAGGAGGAGTGTGAGGTTCAAATCACTGAGCCCAATCTCACCCCTAAAATTATCCCCTGTCTCCTCTCAAAGATGGTTGGAAGGATAGCCCCGGGGAGGCTTAGTGGGGCAGAGGGGGCTCTGCCCGCTCCTCCAGCGTATCGCCCGTCTGGACTTGTCCACTCTGAAGGATCGGAACTCATCTAGCCTAACCAGTTGTTGAACACTTCATTGGTGACAGGGCCCTAGGACCCAGGTTGGTTATCAAGGGATCTTCTCCAAGTGGGCCTGAGGGGAATTCCAAATTATTTTCCATCTCTTTACGGGTCATTCCTTCAACCTTTCTCCCCCCCTCCAATTCATTTATTCTTTTACATATGTGCTTAATTTGATAATTGAGCCACTTTTGCCTTTTTAACAAAAGCGAAGAGTTATATTTCTGAGATGGATTTGGTGGTGACATCTGTTTGATTGCTTTGTGTTCCCTGCTCACGTTTTCGGTTCCCCCTCTCATTTCTGTAATGGAAAACATTCGACTTTTACTCTTGCTGATCACGTCCCTTGTGTAGCTGATGGTCTCATGCTAAGGTTTGCTGATGCTGTGGACACTTGCTCAGGATGCAGTGTTTCTGCTACTTGGGCTCTGATTTCCTGGTGAGTTCACAGTGAGCTGGTTGCTGTCTGTGGGGTCCCCAGAGGCCTGGGTTGAGGGTGCATCCTGGGGGAGTTATGGGCTGGATTCTACCAGGAGCCCTGGAGGGAGGCTCTGAGATCATTCTCAGCCTGTATGTGCTCCAGGGAGTGTGAACTCAGACCCGAGGTGCACATAAGGACCAGTTTCTGCCTTTAAATGTTCTGGGGGGCCTAATTTGATAATTGAGCCACTTCTGCCTTTTTTTAAAAAAAGGAATAGTTATATTTTTGAGATGGGTTTGGCTGTGAAATGGGAGGGGGTGAACTCTGTCTCCTCCTTCCCCGCTTCCCACTCCTTCCCCTCCCCCCATCCTCTCCCCCCTTCCCCTTCTCCCCTTTTCTCCTCCCCTCCCCCCACTTCTCCTCCCCTTTCCACCCCCTTCTCCTGCAGTGCCCGGGGAAGGGAGGGCAGCAGCCCATGTGGGGCTCCAGCCCTCTCCCTATGGAGTCAGGATGCAGGATGTCTTGCTGCTCTGGCATGACTGACATGTGACGATGCGCCAGCCTGTGGCCCCCGGGCGGCTCCCTGAGCTCTCCCTGCCTGGCGTTGTTGATGTTCAGCCGCTCAGTCGTGTCCGACCATTCGTGACGACGTAGTGGACCGCAGAGCGCCAGGCTTCCCTGTGCTTCACCATCTCCCAGAGTTTGCTCAAATTCACATCCATCGAGTCAGTGATGCCATCCAACCATCCCGTCCTCTGTCGTCCCCTTCTGCTCCCGCCCTCAATCTTTCCCAGCATCAAGGTCTTTTCCAGTGAGTTGGCTCTTCACATCAGAGGGCCTTGTGTGGGGGCCACCAGTCACGGTAGGGCAGGGCTGGGTGCCAGGGTGGCTGGCTGCTTGGTACCAGCTGACTGGTAGGCAGCCCCCAGCACTGATAGGCTGGGGGAGGCACTTGTCAGCCCAGTGTCCTTGTAGACAGAGCTCCCCATAGGCGGCCACCAACATCCATGCCCCAAGGGAGCCCCGAGGGACTGGAGACGCTCCAGGATCAGCAGGTGGGTCTGACTCAGGCTGTTTTCACATTTCTGCCCCCGCACCGGGTCTTGGAACATGTGAGATATTTCATAAGTCCTCCCAGCGTAGGGATCCTATTTCCTGCAGCCCTGCGGCTCTCCTGCGCGCAGGCCCTGCTGACCTTCTACCCAGATGTTCTGGGGACTTGTCTTCCTGGCGCCGGCCCCAGGCCTGGGGAGCCTGACGTGGGCTCAGACCCCTAGCTCCTGGGAGAGAGCCTCTGCCACAGTCCCATTTATGGACTGCCCACCCAGGGGTGTTGGTCTTCTTTTCATTTTTTTAACCACATCTTGTGGCTAGCGGGATCTTGGTTCCCCGACCCAGGATGGAACCTGGGCCCTGGCAGCGAAAGCAGAGTCCTAAGCACTGAACCGTCAGAGAATTCCCCGGGTTTGGGTCTTGACTACAGCACAGCCCTGCGCCCCCCACCCTTCTCGTCGCGGTTCCTTCGTTGCGTCTCTAACTGTGGAAACTCTCTTCTGCTCGTCTGCAGGTGGTTCTTGTCCACAGCTGCTTTGTGAGTGGCGGTGATTTTTGTGTGCCCAAGGGGGGAGGTGAGCCCAGGCTCACCCTGCGCCACCATCCTGCCTTCACCTCCTAACTAGAGGCAACTCTCAGGACCGCTTCCGGATGCTCAGCAAGCTTATTAGGGCACGTCTGCGTGTTGACTGTCCTCATTTTCGCTGGGTCATAATGTAATCTTTTTTGGTATGTCCATTTCAACCTTTCCACATTTCAGGAAGGTTTTCTTCTGTTAAAACTTTATTGGCTTTTTAAACTCATTTATGCTGTTTTCTTTTTCGGAAGACTCGTCCCTTTATAGCTCTTATCTGCCCTGTAATCGCCTCATTTCACTGTCCCTTCCCACTTTATCTTGCATTATCCTGTCTCCTGTATTTGGCTCCCAATGTGGCCTTTCTCTCTGGAAAAATTTTCCCTTCCTTTTCTGTTTATTTCCTGAGCTCCTCTAGTTCCCTTTCCTCCTCCTTCTGATGGAATTTTTAAATCTACGCGCCAGTCTTCTTCTTATCTACTCTAAGTTTCTTTTCCCCGAAGAAGCCATGTTATCTTTACCTTTTTTTAAGTATGAAGGATTATTTTTCTGATTTCCCTTACCCCACCCCCTCGGGCTTCTGGATGGAACCCCTCTCCTGACCCACAATTACCTCCCTTTTTCTGCTTCTGGTTGCTGTTCGTTTTTGGGTGGTCTGTCCCCTTTGACCTGTCAGAACTATTAGATACTGTGACTATTTTTTTCCTCCATTTTTTCTATTGTGGTAAAATGCACCCAACATCATAGTGACCATCTTAACCATTTTCAAATGTATAGTTCAGCTGGGCTAAATACACTTGGGTTGCTTCCACATTTTGCCTCTGTGAATAATGCTGCTATGAACATGGGTGTGCAAATACCTATTCCAGTCCTTGCCTTCCATTCTTTTGGGTATATGCCCAGAAGTGAGGTTTGCTGGATCATATGTTAATTCTATTTTTAGTTCTGTGAGGCAACTTGATACTCTTTTCCAAAGTGACTGTACTATTTTTCATTCCCATCCGCAGTGCACCAAGGTTCCGCTTTCCTCCTCATCCTCACTGACGTTTACGTAACATTTTTATAGCAGTCACTCTAATGGTGTGAGGTGCTAACTCATTGTTGTTTTGGTTTGCATTTCCCTGATAATTGGTGATGCTGGGCGTCTATTTGCGGGCTCACTGCTTGTGAGCTTAGTCGCTCAGTCGTGTCTGACTCTTTGTGACCCTTTGGACTGTAGCCCACCAGGCTCCTCTGTCCATGGGATTTTTCAGGTAAGATCACTGGAGTGGGTTGCCATTTCCCTCCCCGGGGTATCTTCCCGACCCAGGGATTGAACCTGCATCTCCTGCATGAAAGGAGGATTCTTTACCCCCTGAGACATTGAGGAAGCCTCGTTTGGTCATTGGCCGTTCGTATACCATCTCTGGAGAAATATCTGTTCAAGTCCTTGGCCCCTTTAGCTGGGTGGTTTGTTTTGTTGTGTGGAGTTTGAGGACTTCTCTTTATATTCAGGATGCTCATCTCTTGTCAGGTGTATGGTTTGCAGACTTTCGCCCATTCTGTGGGTTGCCTTTTTACTCTGTCGATACTGTCTTCTGACACACAACATTTAAAGATGTTCACCATGTTCACTGTGTCTGTATTTTCTCTCGTTGCCTGCGCTTCCAGTGTCATGTCCAAGAAGTCATCATCAGGTCCAATGTTGGGAGGCTTTGCCCGACGTCTCCTTTCCAGAGTCTTCTGGGTTTCAGGTCTTCCGGGCAGGTCTTTGATCCGTGTTGAGCTCATCGCTGTCCTGTGGTGTTAGCAAGGGTCAGTGACATCACCGGGCCTGTCCACGCCCGTACCTGTGATCTTGTGGGAGGGGCAGAGAGTCGTCTGGGAGGATTCACGCCGAGGTGTGTTCTGCCCCGCCTCTCACCTGCGTCCTCACCTGTGCTGAGCAGGATGTTGGCGTGAACATCACCCCCACCCCCTTCCACCTGGATTCATCGGCTCAAGGTGGAGGCCTGTCGGGGGGATGCAAGCACCCTCACAGACAGCTGGCGCTTGGAGTCTCTCCTCTGGCAACGGGCTCCCTCCCCTCCTCCCAGCCTCCTCCTGGGCCACTGTGGCCCCTCCTGGCCCTTCCCCTCTCCCACCTGGCTCTGTCTGTTGCTTCAGTGGTTCAGTCCTCAGTCGTGTCTGACCCTGCAACCCCATGGCTGCACACACCGGGCTTCCCTGTCCTTCACTGTCTCCCGGAGTTTGTTCAAACTCATGCCCACTGAGTCCATGGTGGTGGGACGCGCAGCGCGCAAGCAGCCCGGGCTGGGACCCTGGTTCAGCCGCTTGCAAGTTGACCCACAGCCGGGCACCAGCTGCTCTTATTATCAGCTCACTGACTGTCTGGGCCCTCCCTTTGAACCCCGACTTTTAACCAACCAGTTTATTCTGTTCTCAGCTGTTGCCTGGACGGGAGCCTGCCCAGGGCGATGAGCCTGCTCCCTCCCACGGTTGCCCATCCCCATGCAGAGGCCCTCCCGGGGTGTTGGCTGAGCGGCTGGCACAGTACCCACACCCCCCACCCCGCCCTGGCCAGAGTGGAGCCTGCAGGGACAGCTCCTGCTGCTCCCGGCAGCTGCCTCCTCCTCGCTGAAGCCTCACGCTGCCATCTGGCAGGTCTTTCCTGGTCTCTGACCCCACCTGCCTTCTCCTCAGACTGGCTCCGCCCAGGCTCCAGGCTTCTGCTGAGGGGCAGAGAGCTCCCGGCTTGTGCAGGAAGGACCGGGAGTCCTGGGTCCCTGAGCCTGGTCTACGTGGTCTAAAGACTGTCCTTTGGAGGTTGCGTGCATGCCACCCGCCCTGCCCAGACACCTGTGGGGGAGCATGGCCACTGCCAATTTCAGTGATTAACGGCTCAGGGAGGCCGTTCCTGTGGACAGAGTTCTAACAGGTCTCCGGCATGTGCCCGTCCACCTTCCTCATCAGAGCCTGCCAGGCCCCACTGGGCAAAGAGCATGCCCACCATCAGCCAGCTTTCCTCCTCTGCTGGGGGGCAGAGGGGAGGGCTGTGTGGGGCTCACCACTGTCCCCAGCCTCTCCTCTCACCTCTGCCCTAATCCGCCTGGCCAGCAAAATGCATCATTTCATAGAATCAGAGGCTCAGAAAGGGCAAGAAATGCACCCAGGCTGTGCCGGCCCCACAGCTCAAGAGGAGCACCGGGGGCTGCCGCCCAGCCTGGTCCCCGGGGCACCATCGCATCCTCTTCACATGGCCTGTGATCCTACCCTCCCACCCTGCTCCTGCCACCAGGCCTCAACTGACTCACAGGCCTAGGACCAGGCCCTTCTGCTGCTGCTGCTGCTGCTCAGTCGCTTCAGTCGTGTCTGACTCTGTGCGACCCCATAGACGGCAGCCCACCAGGATCCACCATCCCTGGGATTCTCCAGGCAAGAACACTGGAGTGGGGGGCCCTTCTAGGGCCCCTGAAAATGTTTTCATTTTAATATATTTTTACATCAGAGGAAAAAAAAATAATCAAAATGACTCTATACTAATGAGTCCAATCTGAATTATATATATATTTTTTACCAGTGCAGTCTTAAAAGGTGACGTTTGCTATTTCAAATGCCTGGGGCCCATGACAGTCATAAGGGGCCCTGGTCTTGATGCCTGAGATTGGTGGTGCCCCTTACCCCGTGGACCACCCCTCTCTCAAACCCCTGCCTTTGCCTCAGATCAGGGCTAGTTAGACAGGTTGCCTGGGCTTCAAGGTCAGGCTGCTCACGCCCTGGCAGGAAGCAGTTCTGAGGAGGCCTGGCTAGCTGCCGGGAGGGAGGGGAGGGTGGTGAGTGTGTATCAGGATTCAAGGATGTTCTGGGGTGTTGAGAATAAAGATGGGTCGTCCCCACCAAGGATCGATCTGCATGAAGGACTGAGGAGTTTCCGGAGGGAGACTTGACCCTTGTGGGGAGGGAGTTGTGCACCCCCACTAGTTTGAGGACAACGGGTAGGAGAGGAACTGGTACGTGGGCCTGCAGGGTGACCCGGGAGGCCTGGGTAGGGTTTGACCCTGAGCAGGTCAGCACATCTGCCTGTGTCTCAAGCTTCTTATCTGTAAAATGGGGATAGGACGTCCCAAGCTTGGGGGAGAGGCGATCCATCAGGTCTAGAGCCCAGCAAGGTACCGGCAGAGGGGCGTCCCTAAGTGGGGGCTGGTATCACACCTCGGGCAGAAAACGCTCGCTCCTCTGTGGCCTGCTCCTTCCTCTGGCTCCTCTCCTCCCGTCCACCCATCCCTTGTTCTGAACGTGTGGAGCAGAATGGCTCTGGCTTGGACCATGGCATCCCACCCGCTGGCGCCAGCCCTGCCTGCTCCCTCCCCCGCTTCCCGGCTTCTCACCCTCGGCAGCCTGGTTGAGGGTTGAGGATACTTTTTTCATACTCTCCTCCATTATGGTTTATCACAGGACACTGATTATAGTTCCCTGTGTGCTACAGTAGGACCTTACTGTTTATCCATCCTATGTATAATCTGCTAAACCCAAACTCCCAATCCATCCCTGCCACCTCCCTAGGCGATCACAAGCCTGTTCTCTTTGTGAGTCTGTTTCTGTTTTGCAGATAAGTATCATGTTTTAGATTCCACATATAAATGATATCATATGGTATTTGTCTTTAACTGGCTTACTTCACTTAGTACGATAATCTCTAGGTCAATCCATGTTGCTACAAATGGCATTATTTCATTCTTTTCTATGGCTGAGTAATATTCCATTGTACATATGCACCACTTCTTCATCCTTTCATCTGTTGATGGACATTTAGTTTGTTTCAATGTCTTGGCTATTATAAATAGTGCTGCAATAAACAGTAGGGTGCGTATATCTCTTCGAACTAGTGTTTTCATTTTTTCCAGATAAACACCCAGGAGAGGAATTGTTGGATCATATGGTAGTTCTATTTTTAGCTATTTAAGCAATCTCCATACTGTTCTCCATAGTGGCTGCCCCAATTTACATTCCCACTAACAGTATAAGAAGTTTCCCTTTTCTCCACACCCTCTCCAGCATTTGTTATTTGTAGGTTTTTTAATGATGGCCATTCTGACTGGTGTGAAGGGCAAGTCAATGTCATTTTGACTTACATTTCTCAAATAATTAGTAATTCTGAGCATCTTTTCTTGTGTTGAGGCTGCTTTTAACAGAAACTGGAGACCCACCAAGGAATTCCCGGCAGAGGCTTGAGAAGGAATTCCCTCTCTCTCTCCCTCCACATCACTTCTTTATTTCATGGGGAAATTATGCCTGCTCTTGCCCCAGCCCCAACAGCATGAGGTGCAGCTTGGCCCCGATGTGGTCACAGGCAGGGCGGTGTCTGCTCCAGTGGTCCCTGACGGCAAGCCTGGAAGTCCTGCTCTCAGAGCAGAGGTGCTGCAGGGTCTGCCAGGGCAGAGGAGGCAGGGCTCTGTCCGCTCCTGCGCTTCGCCTTGGCTTTTGCTTTACTTAGGGATCCTGCTGATGCCGCCCCGCTGGGCCTGGAGGTGGGGATAGGAGTGAGCAGAAGGCTGAGACTCACATTTGCATCAGCTTATGGAAGAAAACAGCACTGCAGAAAGACCGGGGGTCCAGGAACCTTTGTGTTGACCTTGACCCTGGAAGTAGCGGGCCCTTGATGATGAAGAGCTCCCACCTCAGGGTTGGGCAAACCTGGGTTCAAATCCCAGCTCTGTAATTTACTAGCTGAGTGACCGCAGATGAACCCCTTAACTTCTCTGATTCTCAAAACACCGTCCTCGTGGACTTCTGATGATCTTATATGAGATCTTCATGACCCAGATAATCACGATGGTGTGACCACTCATCTAGATCCAGACATCCTGGAATGTGAAGTCAAGTGGGCCTTAGAAAACATCACTATGAACAAAGTTAGTGGAGGTGATGGAATTCCAGTTGAGCTATTTCAAATCCTGAAAGATGATGCTGTGAAAGTGCTGCACTCAGTATGCCAGCACATTTGGAAAACTCAGCAGTGGCCACAGGACTGGAAAAGGTCAGTTTTCATTCCAATCCCAAAGAAAGGCAATGCCAAAGAATGCTCAAACTACCACACAGTTGCACTCATCTCACACGCTAGTAAAGTAATGCTCAAAATTCTCCAAGCCAGGCTTCAGCAATACGTGAACCATGAACTTCCAGATGTTCAAGCTGGTTTTAAAAAAAGGCAGAGGAAAAAAAAAAGAAGAAAAGGCAGAGGAACCAGAGATTAAATTGCCAATATCCGCTGGATCATCGAAAAAGCAAGAGAGTTTCAGAAAAACATCTATTTCTGCTTTATTGACTATGCCAAAGCCTTTGACTGTGTGGATCACAATAAACTGTGGAAAATTCTGAAAGAGATGGGAATACCAAACCACCTGACCTGCCTCTTGAGAAACCTATATGCAGGTCAGGAAGCAACAGTTAGAACTGGACATGGAACAACAGGCTGGTTCCAAATAGGAAAAGGAGTATGTCAAGGCTGTATATTGTCACCCTGCTTAGTTAACTTATATGCAGAGTACATCATGAGAAACGCTGGGCTGGAAGAAGCACAAGCTGGAATCAAGATTGCCGGGAGAAATATCAATAACCTCAGATATGCAGATGACACTACCCTTATGGCAGACAGTGAAGAGGAACTAAAAAACCTCTTGATGAAAGTGAAAGAGGAGAGTGAAAAGTTGGCTTAAAGCTCAACATTCAGAAAACTAAGATCATGGCATCTGGTCCCATCACTTCATGGGAAATAGATGGGGAAACAGTGGAAACAGTGTCAGACTTTATTTTGGGGGGCTCCAAAATCACTGCAGATGGTGATTGCAGCCATGAAATCAAAAGATGTTTACTCCTTGGAAGGAAAGTTATGACCAACCTAGACAGCATATTAAAAAGCAGAGATATTACTTTGCCAATAAAGGTCCATCTAGTCAAGGCTATGGTTTTTCCAGTGGTCATGTATGGATGTGAGAGCTGGACTGTGAAGAAAGCTGAGCGCTAAAGAATTGATGCTTTTGAACTGTGGTGCTGGAGAAGACTCTTGAGAGTCCCTTGGATTGCAAGAAGATCCAACCAGTCCATTCTAAAGGAGATCAGTCCTGGGTGTTCATTGGAAGGACTGATGCTGAAGCTGAAACTCCAGTACTTTGGCCACCTCATGCAAAGAGTTGACTCATTGGAAAAGACCCTGGTGCTGGGAGGGATTGGGGGCAGGAGGAGAAGGGGACGACAGAGGATGAGATGGCTGGATGGCATCACTGACTCGATGGGCATGAGTTTGAGTAAACTCCGAGAGCTGGTGATGGACAGGGAGGCCTGGCGTGCTGCGATTCATGGGGTTGCAGAATCGGACAAGACTGAGCGACTGAACTGAACTGATATGAGATATCAAAGTTTCTGGTGGCCAGAAATACAACTTCTACAGTCTTGATTGGTGATCAAGATGCATTGCCCTCTGGCCCTCCCTTCAGAAGTCCTCCAAGTATCCCATCTCCCAAAACAGGACAGAAGGCCCAGACCTTAGAGTTAAAACTAGGAATATTGCTGCCCTCTAGTGGCAGAGCTGAGCCACACAGACCATCCCAGCCAAGGTCAGCGTTCCACATCCTTGGGGAACTGATCAATTGTGTGTGTATCGAAAAGCCATAATTTCTTCTGGACCAAAAAATACTGTATATTATATCTATGTGAAGAAAATAATGTGGTTTTCCTCTGAAAACCGTTTTAAAATATATATAAGACATGCATGTCAAATTCTTAAAATTGACTTTTTTTCTTCCCAAAATGTTTTCATGTAAATCAGTACTGTTACACTCGCATACTCCCAACATCCTGGAAACCTCGGCAGCTTCCTGTCCACCCTCGAGAGCTAATACAGCCGCTTGGATAAATCTCCGCCTCTCACGGAGGCCACGCCCACGAGAGCTGTCAAAAGAGGGAGGGGGCCTGGGGTTTCCGAGCAGCGTCTCCCCTCCGCTGATCTGCCCACGCGGGCCACCCTTCACAGGTCTCTTTTTGGTCACGACCAAGTGTTGAAGCTGCCAGCTCCGCACCTCTGTGGCTGCCCCCATAGCTCACACTCCCTCCTCCCTGGGATCCGAAGCCCTACTCATCATCTGGCTGAAGTGTCAAGGATTTCCATCCTGCAGGAAACGAACTTAGACGTTTTACACTTCATACCCATAAGAATTTAATCCTCGTCATCCCCAGTCTGTCTTGCATGACAGAGAGATGGCTACTGTCTCCACTGCTCTGTAAAATATGGCCTTCCTTCTAAATCCAGGGGACTGGGAAGGCAGGCTTGCAGGGTGGGCAGAGAGCAGGTCTTGTATACTAGCTTGTATACAAGACTGAGGAGTCGATCCTCACCCTGCAGATGGAAACTTACAGATGGCAAGCGTGACAATGGGAAAAGATGGCCAGGACGCTGTGCTGGAGGGCATCGGGCCATCGCAACTGTCCCCAGCTGTCCCTTCCTCTTCACTTCAGTATCCCAGAGGATTAGGAGCTCTGAAGCAGGATGCTCCCATGGCTGGGTGACTTTGGGTAAGTGGCTTAACCTCTCTGTGCTGCTGGCTTAACAATGGGGAGATGTTGAAAGAATTAAATGAGTTAATGAACCCAGTAAGCACTCAATACCTGTTAGCATAATTATCAATATTATTATTATCATTCTGTTTAGCACAGGAAACCATATTCAATATCCATCATGAAAAAAAATATGAAACAGAATAGGAGATGCAGGAGACATGGGTTCAATCCCCTGGAGGAGAAATCCCATGGACAGAACAGCCTGGTAGGCTGCAGCCCGTGGGGTTGCAAAGTCAGACACGACTAAACACCCAGCACACACGTACACATCTGAATCACTGTTTACAGCAGAAATCAACACAACACTGTAAATCAACTCTACGTCAATAAAATGAATTTAAAATATATTATTACTATGATTATTAAAGGAAATCTCCCACCATGACCCAAGCCACTGCTTCCCAGCCATCCTCCTCCTGGCCTTCCCCTTTCCCACCCCTCACTCCACCCCTCTTCCCTTCAGCCTTATCTGCAGCCTCTGTCCTCTTCCCAGCTCACGCCAGCGTTTTCAACCACCAGTCCCCCCCACCCCCACCCGCCATGGTGCCTGGCAGTGACTCCAGGCAAGTCTTTGCTCCTGCGGTTCCATCTATCCAACTTCTCTCCTCTCCCTAGACTTGCCCAAGCCCCACCCCTCCCTTCTGACCCACTTGCGCCCCTTAACTGACCCTGTCATCGCCCGCTCCACACTGCAGGTCAGTTCCTGCTAGCTTGTCCCCGCTCCTCTCGTGGCTGAGACAGAACATAGTCCCAGGACCTGCACAGACCAGGAGCTTGGGAAGCAGCCCTGAAACTGTGTCACGTGAGCTCAGACTCTGAAACCCTGGGGGTGTGGGAGTGGGCAGACCTTACTCAGGGTGGAATCTTAGCATAACGTCTCCAAGATCCTGTCCAATTCAAGCAGCTGCACGGCCTGACTTCAAAGCAAGGGGTTTGCATGGGCACATGCAGGAGCAGTGAGTCCTTGTTAGATGAACTGCTTTGCAAATGCCAGTTTTCTGGTTCAATAAACATGCATTGCACGCCCACTGCATGCCAAGTGCTGTTCCAGGCGCTGGAGGTGCAGCGGTGAACCAGAGGGACACACGCTCGTTCTCTCTCTCCATGCAGAGTGCTAAACATCTGGGCGATGCGGGGAGTTCTAGGCCCGGAGATGCCAGGAGCGAGGACCAGCTCTGATCCTGCGCCCCACTCTGTCCTCGGTGACCGTAATTTGAAGGGATGCTCACTAGGTGGCGGTATTGTGCTACATTCTGCTTTCAACTCCCTCCTTTTCAGAACCCACCCTTTCAAACCCTCCTAGAACCTCAGGTTTCTCAGACCCCCAAGATTATCTGAGATCATAGACCCCAAATCTCAGATCTCAGGATCCCTGTTTCCCACAACTCCCCATCCTTAAATTCTGGAACCCCTGGATTCAGCAACTCCCCAGACGCTAGTTTCCCAAATCTCAAACAATCCCAGAATCCTAGATCCTAAGACTCTGACCCCCAAACAGCCCAAGCCTCCATATCTTCCAGCGCCCCCCCAAATTCTCAGACCCAGATTCCCCAGGTCCCCAGACCTCCAGCTTTCCCAGACCCAATCCTCAGACCCTGCTAACTTCTCAGACCCTCAGCTCGCCAGACACTACAGACCCCTACAAACTGTCCCTCATCTGCAGACCTGTCTAGACACCTGAGACCCCGGATTCCTCAGAACCATCAGATTCCCAGACACCCTGATCTCCTAGACCCACAGACCTCTAGACCTCCACACCCCTACAAAGAGCTGAGGCCTGAGTCTCCAACCCTCCACAAACCTACCAGATCCCCGGGGTTCACACCAAGATCCAGGTCTCATGACTGTTCCCCACTTCCTAACAGAGGCTTTCTCTTTTTTTAATTTTTATTTTTAAAAATCTTTTTCAAAATGTTTTCTTTTATTGTGGTAAAAGTCACATAATATAAAACATACTATTTTAACCATATTTAACTGTACGCTTCAGCCACCAGAGACTCTGTGGGGAAGCTTTATGCTGGGGCGCTGGGTGCTGGCAAACCCCTGAACTGAACAATGGGGCCCCTCCCGCGCTTGGCCAGGGCCACGGCCGAGAGGGGACCCATCTTGCAGAGAAGGGCAAATTTCGACCTGGAAGGGAAGAAACTTGCTCCAGGTCCCCAGGGTGTGAGTAGCCGGCACCCAGGCCCCCGTTCCCAGCTCCTGCCCTGCCCGGCACAGAGCAAGTGGACAGTCAAGCTGGCCATGATTTTTACCGTGACCACACAGCCTAATAACCCGTGTCCTGGCCCAGCCCAGGCTGACCCTTCCGAGGCCCGATGTGGGACCATTCTATCTTCCTGGGACTGAACAATCAAAACACCTCCCAATTTAGCAACATCTGCAAATTTAATTAACAAGCTGTTTATCTTTTGGGCTGAGCGATTAATAAAGATGTCAGGCAGAACAAGGCCCTACACAGCTCCCTGCAGTGGCCCCCAAATGGCCCTCCTCTGCATGAGGGGTCTGGCCATTTATCAGAGGGACAGGGCGGGAGGTGCTGGTAAAGACCAGAGATGAGGAGACAGAGGGGCAAGGAGACAAAGCAGAGGCTTGCACCAGTCACCCCTCCACATGCCCTGCATCTGTCCAGCACATGAGCTCCCGACCCGCTTGTGCCTAGTACTGTGTGGAAGACATAACAGCACCGGGACAGCCACCCCGCCGCAGCTGTGAGCAGCAGGGAGGAAGATGCAGTGTGCAGGCTGACACTGCTCTTTTCTGATATTGAATTTAATCAGACAAACCGCTCAGCCACCAGGGCCGACTGTGACCCATCCCCAGAGACTGAGCTGTTAGCTGGTGACTGCATTGCCTTCCAGAGCTGGAAGAGATCCTCCCCCGGAATCCCGAGAGCCACTCCCCTCTGTCCCAAGAGCCTCTCCCCTCTGCTCTGGGTGGTGCCTTTCTTCCAGTTCCGGTTAGTTGCAGTTTTGCAGCCACCGTGCTCCCCAAACCTCTCGGGTTCTGACTTTTCTGGAAACTGCCCCGAGGATGGGAACAGCTTCTGTGTAAGTGCAGTTAACACCATCTATGATCATAGCCAGGACAGTGTTGGACCGCCTTGTCCATGTAGCTTAAGAGTGATCTCCTAGACCTGCAAGGTGGAGCCAGACTCCAGGAGCCCAGCACGTGCCTTTTACAGGTGAAGAAACAGAGGCACCATGGGCTGAAAGTGACTTCCTAGATTAGAAGCAGAGCCAGGATTAGAGGTGACCCCAGACTCTCTCTATGGAGCAAACTGCACCCTGAGCTGCATCATAACATCCCACCAGCCTCCTGACTCCACCCTGGGAATAGTCTTCTAAGCTCTGGGTGAGGAACCCTGGGGTATATGCACACACACATATACACTCACACACATATACACTCATGCAAGCCTGGTGAAAGAGAACCCACAGCATCCACCTCCCACCATATCCCAGGAGACTTTCTCATTTTCACTATTTCTTCAGCCCCCCAGCAGCCTCTTAGAATTTTTCCCAACTCTTTGCCTCTTATTATACCCAGAAAAGAGCCAGGAAAGAGCATCAGAAGAAAATTGCCTTCCCACCACCAAATACACCCACTGGCCGGCCAGATCCTATGCTCTGGCTGAAGCCTGTCTGGCCCCCACCAGAAAGCAGCCTCCCTCTGGACCCTAACGGCAGGACTGTTGCTCTCCCAGCTGTCCTGCCCTTGCCAAGCCTCCTGGTTTCCTTGGCTGGTTCCTCTTCCCCTCTTAACCTTGTTAAGTGTGTTAGTAGCTCAGTCGTGTCTGACTCTTCGTGTTGCCATGGACTGTAACCTGCCAGGCTCCTCTGTCCATGGAATTCTCCAGGCAAGAATACTGGAGTGGGTAGCCATTCCCTTCTCCAGGGGATCTTCCCAACCCAGGGATCAAGCCTGCGTCTCTTGCATTGCAGGCAGACTCTTTATGGTCAGAGCCAGCCTTTAAGGCTCAGTTCAAATACATATTCTCTTTTTCTCTCTGTAGGTAAGCTCATCCCATCCAATGGCTTTTCACGTGGTCCTATGTTTATGTCTGCAGCCCGGCATCTCCTGAGATACAGATGCTTGAGTAGACATTCTGATGTGACTTCTCCTGGAAGTGTATATGAGCCCCTTAAGTTTGCTAGGGTCCCCAGAGAAGCTCTATCTGCCCCCGCTCCTTGTCAGCTTGCCGTCTCCCATCTCGTCTGCCCCCTGACCAGTGCCTTGCTGCTTCGGGCACGCTGACACAGGTACAGCTGGATGATGCTTTGCCTGTGGTCCACATAGGGTGCGTGTGTGTGTGTGTGGGGGGGGGTGTTGGCAGAAACCATTCAGCACCAAGCCTGAGCCCCCGGAAGTGTGAGGGACCACTGTGGCTCTGTGAAGCTCCCTCCTGCATCCCCAGGCAATGGGGCTGAGATACATCCTGTGATGCCCGTCAGGAGGCTCAGACTGCAGTGCCCGTGCCCGTGGGGTGGCTGACTTCAGAAGCATTTAGCAGTGGCCCTCCTTCTCCATACCTCCTCCGCCTGAGGCCACCTCCCCCTCTCTGTATAAGCTCTGGGGAACTCAGGCTAAGACCGCTCAGAGGCCCTTGGAGCTGTCCACCTAGAAGCTGTGTTTAGCATTCATCCTACAGCTGTTAGCTTTCAAGTGGAAGTCACACTGAGGGGTGGCCTCAGCCCTGACTGCCCCCCCAGGGCAGGTCTCTTGGGATGGACACATTTTGCTCTAGTGCCCACAGGCCAGGCAGGGCACAGGTCCTTCAGGGTGGGCATCACTGTCTAAGGCTTCTTCCTTCAACCCCTCTTCCCTCTGCTTCCATTAATGAGACTCCCTCATAAACTTTTGTACCTTGACTTCTGCTCAGCATCTGCTCCCAGACCATCCAACCTGAGACACAGTCTGATCAGGAGTTGGGAGGAGTGAGATGCAGGGGACTGCACAGAGGGGGTCAAAGAAAGACTGGGGCTGGAACTGAAGATGGTATCTCATGCCTTTTTTTGTTGTTGTTGTTGCATTGCATGGCATGCAGGATCTTAGTTCCCCAACCAGGTATTGAACCCAGTCCCTTGTGAGTGAGACTGTGGCGTCCTAACCACTGGACCGCCAGGGAATTTCCCCTAGTAGCCTTATTGGGTACCGGTTCGGTTGTGCTGGGGAAGGTGCAGGCCAGACTTGGAGCAGCTGGGGTTCGGCCACATTGGAGAGACCTGGTGGGTGGGAAGGAGATGAGCAGGGCTGCCCACATAGGGTTGGGCAAAGGGGGCTCTGCCCCTGTGCCCATCGAGAGGCAGAGCAGGGCAAATGCACAGCCATGTCTGGACCGTGCCTGGGAATGCAGACTCGATCTTGACATCTAGAAGAGAAAGCAGGCCCTGGGACTTTCCTGATTGACAGGGGTGAACTTGGAGCAGATCTCTGCAGGTGAGACACTGTGTCTTTAGAGAGGTGGATTTTTGCATCTCCTGGATGAATGCACCTCTCTGCTTCTCCAGGACCTGTGTTACAGCAGGCGGTCATTCCTGGGCTAACAGGATGCCTGTCGCCGGGTAGAGGAAGCTGGTGGGCCTCCCCTGGAGTCAACCCAGCTCAACAGGATTTACTCACGGGCTTCTCCAGTGGCTTAAATGGTAAAGAATCTGCCTTCAGTGAGGAAGACCTGGGATCGATCCCTGGGTTGAGAAGATCCCCTGGAGAAGGGAATGGCTATCCACTGCAGTATTCTTGCCTGGAGAATTCTATGGACAGAGACTAGTGGGCTACAGCTCATGGGGTCGCAAAGAGTCAGACACAACTGAGCAACTAAGACACGAATGCCAGCTATGGGCCAGCAGGCATGGGGCACAGTGAGGAAGAAAACAGTTCCTGCACCAGGGAAACTTGGGTCCTCGGGGGATGACAAATACAGGAACATAGAGGTCTTCTGCTATGCCAAGGGGATCTCCCAGGTACAGAAGGAGATCTGACAGTGCTTCCTAGAGGAGCTGATGCTCACCTTGAATCCTGTGGATGAGCAGGTGCTGGAGGAGGCAGCATGCCATGCCCTTTGGGGTGGAGAGGGTTTGGGGAAACCAGCGGGGTTTAGACTTGGTGGTGGGCAGGAGGAGCTGGTGGAAGTTGCTGAAAAGCTAGAGTCTGGAAGTGTTCCCATGTATCTCAGAGGCTCCTGCCAACAGCTTGCAGGATGCAGAGGGTGTAACTGGGCAGGAAGGCAGACGGGAGATGTTGGGAAACCCGTACCCAGGTAGAGACGGAGGGAGAGGGGAGAAGGGGTCTGAGGGGCTGGGGTGGGGATCCACAGGGGGGCAGAGCCGTTGTGGCTCCTTGGGTTTGTCCGCACACTTGGGTGTGGGGTAATTTTGTCCTCATTCCTAATAAAAGAAGAAGAGCAGGAGAAAGCGCGACACAGCGCCTCTCAGTTTCAGAATTAGACACCATCTTTTTTGGTTAAAAATCGATGGCAGGAAGTGGCTGGAGAAGTAAGATTTAGCTTCCAAAGCGGCGGCTCCGGGGGAAGGCACCAGGAGTGCCTCCACAGGCTCATTTGCATTTCAAACAGCCGGTTTGTTTTATCTCCTAATTAGCATACTCACCCTCCACTGAAAACGAGTCCATTAAAGGAGACTCTGCTCCGGGCCCAGTGCCTCCTTTAAATATTTTTAAAGTACATGATTAATACACTTGCCCGGCACTGCCTGGGACTGTGCTGAGGGTCAGGGGGCAGGGAAATGAAAGAAGGCGGCTGCACTCGGCGCTGACTGGCTGATTAATCACGGCCCCTTTTCTATAAATCACGGCAGATGGGAGGGCGGCTGCAGGCCCTCCTGGGGATGAGGAAGTATGGGCAGGGCTGAGTGGGGGTCCTGGGAGAACCCAGAAGAAATGCCCTCTGCACTCAGGCAGTTCCCCTGTGCAAGAGGACCTGTGATGACTGGGAACACAGGAAGTCTTCTCGCCCTCTTAAACTTTTCAGGATCCGACAACATCAGTTTTAGGAAGAGCTAACTTTGTTTTGTTTTGTTTGTAATTGGAGGCTCATTACTTTACAGTATTGTAGTGGTTTTTGCCATACAACGACATGAATCAGCCATGGGTGCACATGTGTTCCCCATCCTGGACCCCCCTCCCAGCCCTCTGGGTCATCCCAGTGCGCCAGCCCTGAGTTGGAGAGCAGGGCATGGTTACCTGACCAGCGTTGTCCTGAATCCCGTCCACAACCCCATTTTCCAGATGGGATGTGAGGATCTGCAGAGTAAAGGTCACCCTGGAGCCAGGCAACCACAGGCCTCCCCGGCTAAAATCACCCAAAGTCTGCCCTCTTGAAGTCAACACAGAGACGTGACCGTCCTGGGTGCTGACTCTGGTGGCCCCCAGCACCCCAGCCTGCAGGGTCAGCGTCCCTTAGTGCTCCTCCATCCAGCCCAGGTGTCCCTCCGGGGGGCCAGTCCAGGCTCCCCGTTGTCTTGTCCGCTCTTCTCGAGGTGCGCCATACATTATGTTTGACTTGTCCTTCTTCCCAAGGATGAGGGATTCCCTGGAGGCGGGACCAGTGCCCACAGCCCCGCTGTAGACCCAGGGCCCAGCGCAGGGTCAGGCTCTGGGCTGATGTGATGAATCTGTCTGCGGCCATCTCAGCTAAGATGAAATGCAGTTCCCAGGACTCCCTCCCCTGGGTGGCTCAGGTTAAACTTGGCCCCGAGAGGCAATGTGAAAGTGGAAGGGGATGGCAGCCACGCCCCTGTGATGCCAGGAAGACGGCACAGGCCTGAGTGCTGTCCACTGTGGTCCTGGGGCGCTGCTGGTCTGGAAGGGACAGAGGTGAGGCCGGCGGGGGAGCAGCAGGGAGCACAGCTCCCCCAGCTCCTGCCAGAGCCCGCTTGGCCTTCTGGACGCCCGGGTTGGCGGTGTGGCTGGCCCCATGAAGACGGCCCCAGCGTCTCCTGCAGGTCCCTCACCCTCGACGGTGGATCACGGGGACCCCGGTGGAGCCCGGCCGGGACGGGTGAGCCGAGGGCCCGGCCCTCCCCCTGGGCTCCAGCTCAGCCTGCCAGGCTGTTCCTGCTGCTCCCCTCCACGTTCACAGCCACCTTCCCTCCCCGTGCCTGCGCTGCTGGCTCCCGTTGGCTGATCACCCCGCCGTCGCACTCTGGTGCGAAGATCTGGGAGGGGTGACAGATGCGGAGATGCTGGGACGGATGAGCTTGGTGCTGGTGGAAGGAGGCACAGCTGGCTGGAGCAGGAAGGGGGGTACCAGTGAAGAGAGGCAGGCAGGACCAGATCTCGCTGAGCCCCGTGACCATGGCAAGGATACAAGATGCACATTTTAAAGGGACCCCTCCAGGGAATACCCTGGTGGGCCAGTGGTTAAGACTCCACACTTTCACTGCTGAGGGTCCAGGTTCAATCTCTGTTCAGGGAATTTAGCACCAGCCGTGAGGCGTGGCCAAAAATAATAATACTAATTTCAAAAAATTTTTAAAGTGAGGCGCTCCCTTTGGCTCCACAGTGTGGACAGTGGTCTTGAAGAGGATGGGAGAAGATGGTCCAGAAAGGTCACTGTCGTCTCTGCTTCTGCTGAGGAAGTGGCTGGGACTGGAGTGAGGGCCTCATGAGGGGCAGACAAGCATGCAACTTGGGGTGGCAGAGGTCTAATGAGCGGTGCTGATTCAGGGAAGGAGGGACAGGCCAGGGAGGCCTCCTTGTGTGTCTTGGTGTCTGGGTGGGTGACGATCCCACAGATGGAGATGGAGTTTTGGGGCGGAAGACACAGGGGGCGTGGTGACAGTCCCCTGAGGTTCCAGGCGCCCGTCTGACGTCTGGATGCAGAGAGGGCTGAGTGGAGAGGGTCACCTGCAGGGCGGACGGGATTGAAAGCCCCCAGGAGGGGAGTGAGACTGACGGCAGAAGAGATAGGGAGGCTGAGCTGGGGCCCTGAGCATCGAAAGGTCAAGGAGCCAGTGAAGAAGACCTAAACAGAGGAGCCACCGAGGCGGGGGGAGAAGCAGGAAAGCGAGCGAGCCTTGTGTAGAGGTTCGCTCCTCGTATAACGGCAAATCATCCGATAGCGTAAGAGCCGACAGCAACTGCTGAAATTCTGTGACCTGGGGGATTCCCACCATCCCCTCAATCGAGAGGGTGGCTCACTGGGCCAAGATTGTCTGCACAACAATGTGCTTTATGCTAAATTTCTGCTCCTCCTTTGTGCGGAGTCTGACATTTGGATTTGTGTCTGGCAGAGATTCTTACGTACCCAACCCCCAAAAATCCCTCCACACTGAGTCCCCAAGGAGCTTCCCTAAGGACAGTATTTCACAAGTGATGTCATGCTAGGGGGAATTCAGCGTGTCCTGTGTGATTCTACTCAGAAGCTCCAGGAAGCTTGAACCTAGTTCCCTATGGACTTTGCCCCACACATCCTTTCTCCATGCTGATTCGGTCTGTTTCCTTTTTCTTTAAAAAACAAACAAAGACAAAAAGTACAAAAGTCTTAGCCATGGGTACAACTGTATGCTGATCCTCCTAGTGAATTCCTTACCTTAAGCATGGTCTTGGGAACCCCAGCAAATATGGGTTCAGTGAAATATACTGTTTAAGTTGCGAAACTGTGACCTGGGACTTTCTTTGCAGAGCCTGTGTCTTTTATAAAGCCCAAGAAAAAAGTTCCTTTCTCAGCCCCTCTTCTTGCTGCATCCACTGGAATATCCCCTGTGGTCTCTTGGCTCGATCCAGATGCTTCTTGTTCTGACAAGAGATGGTCTTGAGAACCCCAACAAACATGGACTAAGTAAACTGTGCCGTTTTTAAGTAAATATGCCTCCTCCTCAAGGAAGCCCCCTGTGACTGCTCTGTTCTCTCTGACTCGGTGCTGGGGTTCTGTTTTGCCCTGGGCCGCTGGTCACATTCCAGAACTTCTGAAGCTCTGTGTCCAGGCCGCTGGTGCCTTTAGCGCTCCCAAGTCGAATGGCTCCGGCGGGGGCCTCATCAGAGGTTGGAGCCTCTGAGGCTGGGGTGAAGACCAAGGGACACGACAGCAGTGTCCACTCTGTTGGGGTCCTCTGTGACCTGGGACTGGCCACTTTCCCTGCCCGGCCTCATTTTTCTCTCGTCTGCGAGGTGCGGAGGATGCAAGAACAGCTGGAAACAGGTCGGGGGGCTTCGGGATGACAGTCTGAGTGAAGTGGGGAAGCCCCGTGGCCCCCAGACTGGTGGATAAGTGATGCTCCCGCGAGGAACTGCTGGGCGCCCTGTCTCCCTGTCTCCTCCATCCCCAGGTGGGGCTTGAGCCTGGCTCTGGGCTGGCACTGCACAGCAAAACGGTCCTAACCAGAGCCAGGCCACCTGCAGGCCAGCGATGGTCACGGCCCTTCCTTGAGAGATGTTCTTTTCGTGGATCCCTTCTTGAGACCCCGACCCACTCAGCTCTGAGGGACCCGGCCTCGAGGCTCAGGGAGAGTAGGGGTTCTGTCCCCCTGAGGACTCGGCGCCCCCCCAAGAGTGGCTGCAGTGCGCAGCGAAGGAGGTAGGGATGCCCGCGGCGCACAGGGAGGCTGTGCGGGGGAGGCGGCGGCTGGCTGGCCAAGTGGGAGCGGGGTGGGGGTTTGGGGAGACTGTGTCCCAGAGAGAGGAGGGCGCCGCCGCAGGCGCTGGCAGAGAAGAGGGGGAGCCCGCCAGGGATGCGAGTCTGAAGCCAGAGTTCACAGCTGATGTGACAGAGTAGGGAGTCATGCTAGCTTCGTGAGCAAGGGAGTGTCTGCAGGGAGGGGGTCCAGGTTGGGGTGGGCTGAGGAAGAGAGAGATGCAGGAGAGCTGTTGCTGTAAGTCTCTGCTCAAATCCGAGATGGGTCCTTAATCTGCTGGACTCCCTGGTTCCGGCTCATTAACGAAATTAACCTTGGAAGCCACCATCAAAAACCACGTTTTCCTATGACGTGAGAAAACGCCCGCAGCGTGGGGTGGGGGGGACACTGAGAAAGCATGGAGCGTGTACGTTACAATATCGATGTTGTAGGAAAAGTAGATGGGTCTGTGTTTGTAGGGACGCGACTGCTCAGCTTGCTTTAGCATGGGGTCTTATATATGGTTTTCTTTTTCTTCTTCTCTTTCTCTGCCAAATAGCCTCCTTCTCCTCCCAGGAAGGTTTCTGCCCCCGCAGTAAGGGAGAGCTCAATTCTGTTTACAAGGGACTTAGCCTCTGGATTTCGTGGTCTTCCAAGTCCATGAGGGAAGGGTGAGGTGGTGGGGGGATGCGTGTGGGTCAGGGAGATGTGGGGGTTGGGAAGAGCTTCCTCTAAACAAGGGGGAGATTCTCCAGGCTGGGCAGGGTAGGGGGAGGCGAGGGGACCCAGAGCCCGAGGGAGGGCCCCAGATAGCAGTGGTCACAGAGAGCCATTTTCCAGTCTCCCCAGGATGTCTAAATCAGAGCAGTAGACACGCAGCCAGAGCCCCCGTCCCACTCCAGGGTTACTCATGTGGACGGGCTCAGCGGCAGGCGACCCGAGGCCCCTCCACAGCCCTCCCCACTCCCACACGCCTTGGCACCATGTGAAACCTAGGACAGGGCACCGGTTAGGACCAGGGGGAGGCTTAGAACCCCACGAAGCTGATTTACACCACGACATGCGACAGGCTGTTTCCTGTCGACTCACACTGGGGACCCCGGGGGTGAGATGGTTGGATGGCATTACTGACGCAAAGGATGCGAATTTGAGCAAACTCCGGGAGATAGTGGAGGTCAGGAAAGCCTGGTGGGCCGCAGTCCGTGGGGTCCCAAAGAGTTGGACACGACGGAGCAGCTGAACAGAGACACCCCGGTGGCCTCAGAGGTCCGCACCAAACACCCTGAGAAAAGGAAGCACGTGGTCTGGAGGGCCGTCACCCTGCCTGCAGTGCGGCTTCGGGGGAGTTTTCTTTCTTCTTAGGACTGAGTGCTGTTTTCCTCATTTTCTATAACGAGCGCTAGTGAATGTTAGATTTGGAGGAAAAAACAATCAGGAAAACTGGGAGGCCAGGCGAAGGGGACAGCGTGGTGTCCCTGGGAAGACAAGGTCTGAGGTGGGGGAGCAGGGGCTGCGATGGCCCCAAGGCAGGGAGACCCCGGGCACCTGTGTGGTGTTTGCACGCGCCTTGCCCCTCCCTGACCAGCTGCTGCCCCTCCTCTTGCCTCCACTCACTCCTGGAGGCCAGACAGGGCCCCGATCTTGCTTCCCTGGCCTCACGGCCGGCCAGCTGTGGCCGGGTGGGGGTGGGGGACTGAAGACCACAAACGGCCCCCAGTCCACCCCAGATCCCACCATACGAAGGGTGTTCAGAGACCAGGGTTTCTATCAAGACAATAAGAACATCCTACACGTTCCTGACTCCTCCTCCCCATCCTTTTGGGTCTCCTGACCCCGTAAGGGTACCTACATCCTCCCTGTAGCCCAATTATATGATTCATCCCAATCTGGCTCTTTTTCAACCCTGATAATCAACAAAAACCTTCAAGCCCTAAGAATCTGACCTCAAACTCTCTCACCCTCCCCAGCATTTCCCTCTTTATTCATCCTCCACATATTCCTATTTCCCCATCCCCCTATTTTGCCATCTTCCTTGTGTCCATTGCAGTGGCTGCCTTACTAATCGCCCTCTGTCCACCTCCCTCAACGTCACGCCATGGAAGAGAAAAAATGAGGACTTCGCTTCTCTGTTCAAAATGACTTTGATGACATTTTCTTCCCTCCCACCGATGTGTATAGAGAGAACCCTGCACAGCGGGGAGGACAGATCATCGCTCCCACTGGCTGGACAGGGCACCTCGGAGCCAGCATCTCCCGCACACCGGCCCTCGGCTCCCTCTTCAGCCAAGTTTCTGATTTTCTCCCTCCTTCCTGTGTGGTTTCCCAACCACCTCTGCCCCAGAAGAGCTAAAAAGAAAAGAAAAACACACGCCTGTGCCCTGCTGGCTGCGGGGAGGAGTCAGAAGTGTGACATTGCTCAGGTGTTTCACAGTGTCTACAGTATTGTTAAAACGTGCACCTTGCTGAAATAGAAACACAGATGTAGAGAACAGACATACGCACATCAAAGAGGAGAAGAGGGGGTGAATTGGGAGATTGGGACTGATGTGTATACCCTATTGACACTGTGTATAAAATAGATAAATAATGAGAACTGACTGCATAGCCCAGGGAGCTCTGTGGTGACCTCAATGGGCAGGAACTCCAAGGAAGAGTCGATATATGGATATATATGGCCGATTCACTTTGCTGTACAGTAGAAATTAACACAATGTCAAGCAACTATACTCCAATAAAAATTTAAAAGTTTGCACCTTTATAACCTGCCTGTGTTTGTTTTGGTATCAAAAGGATGGCTTATCCTCGTGTGGGACAGATGTTCGAGAAACTGTGGTCTGTCTCTCTGGGGCATCTTTGTGTAGCTGACTGTGGGGACATCTCTGCACGAAGCCACTCCCAAGGTTCACCCTCGTTCCAACTCAGTTCAGGAAAGCAGGTTTGAGAAACACCGTTTGCCTTCCTGGGGCAAGCAGGCTTGAACCAAGACCGAGAATCATTGTCTTCAGTTGCCTTTTCAGGACCTTGCCCTTCCTGGTCAGTGATAAATTCACAGAAACTTCACATCTGGGGTATATACGTGGGCTGGCTCCTGGTGATGAAGACTCTGACACCACTTGGTCTGTTTCAGGACCTTTCTCCATGGTGCTCACTTGAGTCTCTAAGAGTCTGCCCGACCCCAGTCTCTTCTTTTGCTCTGACTTTCTGCCTCTGTCCCCTACCTATGTCCTGCCCTTGGACAGCTGGCTAAGCCAGAGCAAGAGCACTCACAGCTCAGGTCAACTCTCCCTAACAAACATCTTGAAAGTTTGATACTTGCATGAAGTATCCTCGGTGCTGGAGGTATGAAGGTGATCAGAAGAGAGTCCTTGCTCTCTGAGTCCTCACAACTAGCTAGAGAGACTGGCATGTGACAAGTAAATGACACTAGAGTATGCCAAGAGCCACCCTACAAATAGGTACCCAGACAGAACAGAGGGGATGGGTGTTAATGTCTGTGTGTATCAGGGAGGTCTTCCTGGAGGAGGTGAAGGTAGCACAGGTTTTCAAGTCAAGGTCGTGGTCTTCTTCCAAAGCTGCTTAAGTCACATTTGGGATGATAGTTTCTTTTCTCTGGATGGGCTGGACTGGGCTAGGTGATGCCCACTTTGGCTCAGCTGCATGGAGAAAACAGAAAGTACTGGCAAGTTTCAAAGATGGGGCTGGGCTCCACCATGGTTTCCACCTGCATTCCACCTGGAATATCCAGGGAGGCTCCCAGAGGCCAGGGCCACCTTCCTCATTGTGAAGGTGTTAATTCCACCCAGCCTGCCCACCTCACGGCTCTGATAATTATAATAAATTGTCACAGAGGCCGAGCCCAGAGGCGGCTGGGACGCATGTATAGGAGCCTCAAAGAGCAGCAACCTGCTGCCAAAAATGCAAGTGTGGCTGAAACCCCACTGCACTAACCAGCGGTGCCCAGGTTTGTTTCTGGTCTTTCCCTGAGCCAACCTCATTAGTCTCACCCAAATGCATCTCCCTAATGAAGCTCCAGCGGAGGCAGGAGCATGCATCCTTATGGTCTGGGCAGCCGGGGTTCCTAATAAAAAGTAATAATAATAATTAAGAACCACCTATTAGGCGCCTTCCCCATGCCCCTCATCGCTGCAACCCGTCCAACCTGGCTCAGCACCAGGAGCGCCCGCCCTACAGCACCGCCGCCCTGGCACACGTCTCCGACCCCCACTACCCAGCATCTGCTGGTGGTTCCTGGGAGTTTAAGGACTTGGGGAGGCAGCTTGGAGGCAGTGAGAGGCCCAACACTGCTACCACCTCTGCTCTGGAAAGCAAGAACCGGCTCTGCTCTGGGTCTTTGGTCTGTGTTCTTCCTTTTGGGGAGTTCTTCCTCACTGCCTGCCACTCACCCGCAAGCTCTCTTGGCCAGTCACTCAACTCTTGCACCCTCATCAGGGTGCCTTTCCCAATTTCACTGCCCCCACCACTTCCCAAACCCCTTCCTTGGGCTCCCTGTAACAGCCTCTCAGATACATTTCTCCTGTGTGTTTCACGTTTTTCTCTCTGAGGTCAAGGGCTCGGTGCTGGGCATCAAGTCAGCCTTTTTAAGGATTTGTTGAATGAATCTATGATGGGTAGAGGATGGTTCGAGGAAGAATTTCAGAAATAGTAGAATGTTAACATCTTATATTTTCCCTTTGGCTAAAAGTTCACAGGATCTAAACTCCCTCCCAGAATAAGGATGGTCAGTGGTGGCCCCTCTTCTTGAAGACATCAGCCACATTTTCCTGTACCTGCAAGAGAGACATGGCTAAGAGCTTAGCACCATCGGGATGGTGTCCACAGCCCCAGGGTCACCATGGTGGACCAGCCGTCCAGGCCTGGAAGGGGGCAGAGCAGCTGGGCTTTCTGTAGAATTTCTGTGTCTGCAGTTCTTTGACAGTGATCTGCAGGCTTGTCTGACAACAGGGTGCCGGGGGGACATGGATGAGGGTTCCCCTTCCCTCATGATGCCTCAGTTGAAAAGGGGAAGGATTTGATTGTACCTTTCCCCACCCAAGGGCAGAGTGGTGGCAAAGAATCTGGTGAGGATCTGTTCTCTGAGCAGCCAGAAAACAAGATGGTGATGTCT